TAGGAGTGATTAACAAATTGTATTAAAAACAGGAGCTTTCGTGAGCTGCCCCTTTGTTTCCTTCTGACCTTCTGCTTAAGGCACCCAACGTGAGTTCTATCTAAAAAAGAAAGAAAGAAGAGGAAATAGGGCTTAGATTAAACATTTTATGCAGACAAATAAAGAATGAAAAACAACTTGGATACCTTTTCATCTTTGGTCTAGCAGTTTTTTCCCCTCAGTTTGCACCCTTATTGTTACTGTGCCTCAGTTTTTGCTTTCATGTTGTTCTTTATTTTTCCATAGCCACTTGGGGCTAATTTGAACCAGGCTGCAGACCGTTTACATGAATCTGTTGCTTTGCAGGAGCCCCTGGTTAGAGGTTTTGGTTTCAAGCAGTGGCCCAGGTCAGAGGGATTTGTGGGCTGGAAGGGCTCGCTTGGTGGGGGGACATTTGTCTTCAATTAAGAAACAGCCTTTGCTGCATAAAGGCATGCTGGTGACAACTTGGAGCAATGGCTTAGACGCAGTGTTTCTCAACCTTGACCATTTTCAGGCATGTGGACTTCAACTCCCAGAATTCCACAGCCAGCATTGCTGGCTGTGGAATTCTGGGAGTTGAAGTCCACATGCCTTAAAATGGTCAAGGTTGAGAAACACTGGCCTTAGAAGTACTTGCCTGAACTTTCACTTGCATAGAATAATATCCTGGTATAATGTGGTTTAAAAGAGGCAAATCTCCCAAATATAGTTGCTTTCTACAATCTGAAGGTGTTTGGTTAGGAGGGACTCTGTGTGGGCAAAGTACATCCTCCCAGCCACTTCTCCATCCCCAACTTTTATTCAAACCTCCTGTCAGTTCTCCAGAAAGAAGTCACCTGGCTGGCTTGCAGCCTGGAGGAGTTTTTATGATATTTGAATGAGCTAAGAGGAAAGAGCCCGAAGGCCACTGAGTTGGAACAGCAATTCTGTTGGTCATTATTGCTCAGTTGCTTTTGACTCTACATGTCCTGGTGGAAATCATTTTGAGAATGGCTTCTCTCCCTCTGTCAGCCCTTTAAAAAAAAACAAATTGCAACCATCGGGGTCTTCTCCACTGACTCCAAATTTTGCATTGTGCCTGCAAAGTCTTTCAGTTTCAGCTTTATCCTTCCAGTGAGAGCCTCTTTTGACTTTGTCCAGCCTCAGGTGATTTGGCCCTCTGATTATCCAAGGTGCTGTCAGCCATTTTCTCCAGCGCCATAGTTTAGTGCAGTGGTGGCGAACCTATGGCACGGGTGCCAGAGGTGGCACTTGGAGCCCTCTCTGTGGGCACACGTGCCGTTGCCCCAGCCTCGCCTTCCCCCGTGACCCCCTCCTCTCCAGCAGCCCCCCTGAAGGAGAGTCGCCCCTGAGCATGGCCCATGCGGAGCAGTGCAGCCAAGGACATGGCAGCCAGGCAGCGTAGACAAGACTCTGCCCTCACACCCCATCGCGCACAGTTGATGCTGCAGGGCTCGGGCAGAGGGCATGACCGCCATAGCGCTGCTGGGCCCTGGAGGCGGTGAGTGGCCATGCGGCAGGCGGGGTGGGGGGTGGAGTGGGGGCGGGGCAGGGGGTGGAGCGGGGGCAGGGCCAGTTTTTGGGCACTCGGTCTCCAAAAGGTTCGCCATCACTGGTTTAGTGTCTTCCTTCTTCCTTTGTTGGCTTTTCTGATGTTCCGGCTTTCACAGCCAGGCATTACAGCTGGGAAAACCTTGGCCTGGACAGCAACTAATTTTTCTGCACTTCAGTATTTGCCCAGAGTTGCCATAGTCTTTCTCCCAAGCAAGAGACCTCTCCTTATTCCAGTCACCACCCCGGTGAAGTTTTCACCCCAGGAATCAAAGTCTGCCGCTTGTTCAACTTCCTCTCTGTCCATTTGCACCGAGGGGGCATTGCTGTCGAGAGACGCTGAGGGCTTTTTAAATGCTGAGCAACCGGCCGGCTTTGGCACTCTCCCTTCCATCCTTAAGGAGAGAGCTGAGGTCTCCCTCGCTTCCAGCCATCCAAGTGGCATCGTCAGCATCTCTGAGCCTGTTGAAGTTTTCCCAGCAGTTTAATCCCAATTTCTGATTCTTCTGATTCAGAATTTTGGCGCGTGATTTAAACAAAGTGGCGGTAAACCATCTTGGCCTTTCCCGGCTTTTAATTGTTCAGTGTTCCATTTGATGACTGGAGCTGCTTCCTGTAGTCGTGCAGCTCTTTCAAGAGGCAGGTGAGACAGCCCTGGGCACCCAGAGTTTAAAGGCCTGCAAAAAGCCTTTGTATAATCAATAAGGCAAAAACGGATTTTGTTTTGGAACTCCCTGACCTTTTCCATTATCAGATGTTAGCAAAATTATCTCAGGTGTTCCTGTCTTTTCTTACTGCAAGTTCTCCATTCTTCTGCACTGTCCTGTATTTGCCATCCCGGTTTGAAATTTTGAAACAAATATATTCAGAAAAAACTCATCCTGAGCTAGTAGAAAATAGGAATTATGTGGAATTAGAACAAATTTCTCATTGAGACCTGGTCTGGGTGGTGGAGTAGAGACCCCAATATGCCATGCACGCCTCTTTTCACACTATCCATGTTTGATGAGACAAGTACATAGTCTCCCTCTCCCCCCTCTCTCCCTCTCTCTTTCTCTCCCTCTCTCTTTCTCCCTCTCTCTCTGTTTCTCCCTCGCTCTCTCCCTCTCTTTTTCTCCCTCCCTCCCTCCCTCCCTCCCCCCTCCCTCTCCTCTCTCTCTCTCTCTCTCTCTCTCTCTCTCTCTCTCTCTCTCACACACACACACACACACACACACACACACACACACACACAGAGGGAGGGAGGGAGGGAGTAAACCTTCATTCTGCCAAACCAATTTTGCAGCATGGCCTTGATTTGTAAGGTGCTTTTAAAGGGGATGACTCCAGGCTTGATAGGAGGGCCTGAAGGAGGCCAGCTCAGCTGGAGGGGACAGCGCTTCCTGGAAGCTGGGAGGGGGGGATGGCGGGGAAATTTTCTGGGCATGGGTGACTTAGGAGGAGCCTCCTTATGTTGTCCTGTGGCGGCAAGCGTATGAATTGGCTGAAATTATCCAAGGAGAGAAGCAGCCTAGAACTAAGGATAAATTTCCTAACAGTGAGAACAATCAACCAGTGGAACGGTTTGCCCTCAGAAATTGTGGGTGCCCCATCACTGGAGGCTTTCAAAGAAGAGACTGGACAGGGATTTGCCTGCAATGATAGAGGGTCTCGTACTGGAGCAGGTGGTAGGACTAGAACAGAGTTCCCCAACCTTTCGGAGTTGGTGGCCCAGAGCAGGGGGAGGGGGAAAAGAAGGGATGGTTTGGGGGGGGGGAACGCATGCGTGTGCAACGAACATCCATTGCTCGCACGAGTGGGGCTGTGAGCGCTCGTGTGAGTGGGACCACGAAAGCCCACGATGCAGTGATGCTCATGCAACTGGGGCTGTGCATGTGCACACCCACGCATGCACCAACCAACCACTCATGACGCTCGGTGGCCAATAGGCCGTGGCCCAGTAGTGGGCCATGGCCCATAGGTTGGGCACTCCTGGACTAGAAGACCTCCAAAGTTCCTTCCAACTCTTATTCTATGTTCTATGAATGACTGTATCTCCAAGTTCCAACTTGCCCAGAAAGATCAGCTTCCTCAGTGGTACCTTTTTAGCCTGTTGGCCTCCTTCAGCCTGCATTAACTCCTGGTATCTTCATGGACACATCCGTTTGGTTTTCTTGGCCATGTTCTTTTGGGATATTGTTTCAACTTGCCAGTCCTGGAATCTCCTGGTGGTCTCCTCCCTAAATCCCAGCCAGGCTGAACCAGCTGAGTTTTTTGAGATCTACCAAGTTGGGCTGGTGCTGCTCCTTAGCTGGTCAAATCTTAGTTTTACATGATTTATTTTTCAGTCTTAGCGTAGGAGAAAGAATTGCAAAATTCGATGGTGAGTGAAATACCTGTGAAGTAGGTAGTCCAGCCCCCTTTGAATGCTGCTGATATTTCTCTAAACAGGTGATGACTTTAGTTGAGAGGATTTCTGTGCAGAGGCTTAGGCAATAAATCAGTTTTAACTGAACCTTCATGTGTGGATCTCACTGCAGGGTGAAAGGAAGAGAACTGGGGGCCCAAAGAATGGAGACCCAGAGTGGGCAATGTTCTTGATTCTAAAGATCCATTTCTGATCCTGAATATTTGTATAGCATCCTCTCTGCTCCTCACAGAACATTTATGCTTCCTGGGTTCAGTGCTCCACCCATAGCAGTTCTGGAAGGACCGTCTAGGATCGGATCCACTCCATGTGAAGGGTGTACTTGAACTGGCATGGAGTGCTTTGCTGAATAACTGTCAGTTATCCCCTGCTTGGTGCTCTGAATCAATATCACCTTCCCTTGCTGATCGCTATGGCTGCTCGATGGAAGAAGAGGCTTCCTTCTTATTAGTGGATAAATCTGCAGAATCAAACAAGTTGCACAATGGTGTTTAGTCGTGATGTCTGTAAGGAGCCTTATGGGATAAACAAAATTTGGTATATTTCTATTCATATTATAAGGCAAATATATGTAATTCAGTTTTTCATTGTTCTATGGAAGTTTGGTCTGTGCCTGTAAATAAACCAGCCTTCTGAATGGGGGCTTTTCCTCTTCCTCTGATGGATCAAAAATGCCTTCCCTGTTTCCCCATTTTGCTTAGGGGGCAGCCTCAGCTGTTGTCTTCCACATACAGTACAGTAAGGCGCAGGGAGGAGTTGCTGTTGAGCTGATCAGGCCTACCTGATTCTATCCTTTTGTCATTTAGAAAGCCCCCCCCCCAGATGCATTCTGTCAGGACGGGGGATTGGAGAATTGATTTTATGCTTCCTCCCATTGACTCTGTTTATACTCTGTCCTCCTGGCCCTTGGGATGGGCGGGCAGATCTTACTTGGAGCAAGGCGCTTCCTCGGTGCTCTTGCTTTGTTACCAAAGAAGAAGAAAAAAGTGCCTTTTTCTCTCTCCCCCCCCCCCCAATCCAGGATGTGAATGGGCAGGCCAAGGAGCCTTTGGGGGCCCGACTTTGTCATCTCAAGAAAGGGCCCAACGGCTACGGGTTCAACCTGCACAGCGAGAAGTCCCGTCCTGGACAGTTCATCCGCTCGGTGGATCTGGATTCCCCGGCATCCAAGGCGGGTCTACGGCCACAAGACAGACTCGTGGAGGTAATGAGGGGACTGGGAAGCAGGCAAAAGATCCTGCCACTTGGAGGGGAATTCACCCAACATTATTGCCGGTCCGAGTTGCAAGACACCTTTGAGATATTTTTTGCTCACTCTGTTGATGCAACATCATCTTTAGCAAGTGGAAGGAAGCCAAAGCCAAAGTTGGCATCAAGTGAAAGCTTTGGCTTTACAGCAGTGGTTCTCAACCTGTGGGTCGGGACCCCATTTGGGGTCGAAGGACCATTTCACGGGGGTCGCCAAACCACGCAGTCCGACATTTCCCCCCCCCTTTTCCTACTCCCTTTTATTCTATTGGCTTTTGAAAGCCAATAGAATAGTCTCTCTTGAATAGAGTCTAATTCTATTGGCTTTCAAAAGCCAATAGGAATTGTCCAGGCTGTCTCTGCCCTGCTGACCCCGCCAAAAGTCCCATTCTGCAAATGGTGCTGCACCAGTTGAGTAGTCCTCGACTTACGACTGGTTGAGTAGTCCTCAACTTATGAACGGTTGGGGGTTAAAAAGGTTGAGAACCACTGCTTTACAGGATTATTTATTTGTCAAATTTCCATGCTGCCCATCTCATCTAAGTTTCTCGGGGCAGTTTATAATAAAAACATACTGTCAGTGGTGGGATTCAAATAGGTGAACGACTGGTTCTCTGTGTGGATGCCGCTTCCGGAAGTCCATTCTGGGCCTGGGCAACAAAAAATTAGCTACCGGTTCTGCCGAAGTGGTGCGAACCGGCTGAATCCCACCACTGCATGCAGTGGTGTAAAAAGCATAGTTAAAAAAACAAAGATCAACACAGAATGAAGAACAAGGTTAAAACGAGACTGTTAAAAAGTTAAAAGAGGAGGCACAGGGAGCACCCTCAAGTCTCCCTTTCCAAGGAATAGGTCAGGAAGGGCTGGCGCCTCATTCTCCGTCTGCGAGAGAGAAGCCCGGCAGGAGCGGACGCAGAAGAGGAGGCCCTGGGCTGGGGCCACCTTCCACGGGGGGTGGGGGGGTCCTGGGGGCTCTCTGAACTGGTTTGCTTGTAGATGTTTCATTACCCAACTAGTTACAGGTAATCCTCAACCCAAAACTGCAGTGGAGCCTGTCCATTACAGTCGTAGGTCATGACAGTTGTAAAACGAGCCGTTCATATAACTGATGCAATTTTATGAGCTTTTCTGCAGCAGTCATTAAGTGAATATGGTGTTTGTAAAGTGAACACCAGGGCTGTTAAGCAAACCGGACGTTGCAGGCAGTCCTCTACTAATGACCACAATTGAGCCCCAGATTTCCACTGCTAAGCAAGACAATTGTTAAGTGCCTCATGCCTCATTTTATGACCTTTATTACCACAGTTACTAAGCCAGTCACTGAAGTTGTTAAGTGAATCTGGCTTCCCCCAGGATGACTTCACTTGTCGGAAGCTGGTTGGGGAAGTCACTAATGGTGGTCGCAGGACCCCAGGAGGCCGCAATTGTCTTATGTGTGAAAACCGGTCATAAGTTACTTTCTTCAAACAGTTGTTAAATGAGTGGTTGTAAGTGGAGGACTACCTGTATTCAGCTGAGCCTCAAGTGCAGTCATGTGACTCTGGGGGAGGGGTGGGCAACTGTCAGAACTTTGGAACTGGTGCAGGTAAGGAAATGTCTGAAAGTGAACCCCAAGCTTGGAGAGCCCCAAGAATCCCCCGATTCAATCCTGAGCTGCGGAGACGCCCGTCCGTTCGCCCCCTTCTCTGAGGCACCCAAGAAAAGGCTCTTTCGGACCGTTTCCTGGTTTCTGAGTTGGCCGTGGACGTCTGAGAGGGAAGAGAAAGAGAAGCCCTCCTTTCCTGCCCGTCGGCCTCTATTAATTAATTCGGCACGCCTGGCGCATTTCCCAGGCGCATAAATGGACGCGGTGACCTGTGGAGTCGCCACCCGATCCAGGGCGCCTCCTGCTGTCCGGGACTGGCATCAATGTTTGATGGGCCGCTCCTCCGGTTGGGAGGGTTTGGCGGGGAGGGGGAAGGGAGGGGCGGCTTTCTCCTATTTGCTCTTTTGGCCCCTTCAGTTCCCCTCAGCCTCCTGCAGCCCCCACCGGGCCACCTGTTTAAACACTGCAGGCGCAAGGATGGCGGGAGGGGAGAAGGGCTGGCAGCATCTCCAGGGCTACATCTGGAGAGCTCTGAGGGGCCCTGCAGGGGTCCTGCCCCCCTTCCCCGCTGATTACTTGAAGGGAAGGGAGGGAGCCAGAGCAGCCATGGAGAGCGGGCTGGAAATGGAGGCTGGCCAGAAGGTTGAGGTCTTGCTGGAATCCCCCAGCACAACAAGGAATGACCCTTGGGGGTATTTGCAACTCAGGTCCTGTGTTCCCATCTCCTCCCAAAGAAGAGATGGTGGGCATTCAACAGGTGCAGCCTTGCCCAGGTATGGTGACAGCAGCAGCTGCACGGCTTCATTTAACAGATCTTCCCTCCTCTGCTCCCCTCCTCACAGCATGTTACTTATTATATGTTATTCTGCATTCGCTGTTTTTGATCACAAGTGAGGTACACTAGATCAGGAAACATGCCCCATAGGATGAGCAGAACTCCACGTGATTGGGAGTGGCTACAATACCTTGCGGGCCTGATTCTGCTTCTCCTCCCATCCTTCCCATCCTCTTTCACTGCATGGGGTCAGCCCGAGCCCCCTCCTAAGGCTCTCTGCCTTCCCAGGGCTTAGGCAATGCCTCCAGCCTCTGGCTCCGACTATTTGCCCCCGCCCTGGCTCTCTCTGGCATGGATGTGCCTCTGGTTTCTCCCTCTCAACAACCCAAACTGGGCTCTTATTTACAATAAGAAGGAAAAGGAAGGAAGGAAGGAAGGAAGGAAGGAAGGAAGGAAGGAAGGAAGGAAGGAAGGAAGGAAGGAAGGAAGGAAGGAAGGAAGGAAGGAAGGGAGAGAGAGGGAGGGCTCATTATTTGCTTCAGAGTGGACAAAAAGAATAGGCAATTAAGCAGCACTTCTGACAAAAGGTTCTATTGGGCCCTGATTCAGATCAGATTAGGAGAACCTTCTCAATTTGTAGCTTCACAGCCTCCAGAATAAATGTGCCTAGATCAAACATGTGTTGAAACGCATGACTAATTTCTCATGCACGGTAGTTTATTCCTCCCTGCATGCAGGAAAGGAAAGAGTAGCATACCGCTTGATTAATGATCGGTTGCTTTCCACTTTGAGGGGTTATTTAGCCTCTGCCTACAGACAAATGGGCAGCCTCCTGGGGCAAATTTTGCCTTCATCCTCATTTACAGTCCTCTGAGCATAGCAGAGCTGGTCTGATCCTTTGTCCTGTGTAAAATAATGTACATATACTTTATGCGTGTGACACATACACAGAGAGACACTATATATATATTTGCCTCTAAAAAATTAAACTAAAGCTGAGAGCTGGTTTTCTTTCAGATTCTGGCATCCAGCTTCTTGCTGTGGTTGAGAGCTGTGTGGGCAGATAATACAGCAAGAAGATCATTGGAATTAAGTCAATGTTCCAGGCTACATATTGCATGACAGGGTTGTATGGTCTGGTTGGTTTTTGATTAGCAAGTTGTGAACAAGGTAACTGTGGCTTGTAACCACTGAGATGGGCAATTGGTTCTTTCGGACCACGGGTGGCTCACCAATATTCCTTCAGTGGCCCCATAATCTCCTCCCTGAGTCCCTGTGTACAAGTGTATTATGGCATATTTTGTAATTACAGTTTGGTGAGATGCAGAGAATAGTCCCTTAGTGTTCCATGCTCTGAGGACTTCAGTTCCCAGAGTCCTAGAGGACTCTGTTGCTGGCAGCCCTTTGGATGTCTTGGGAAGAGGAAGCCCCATCAAGGTGACAGATGGAAACTCTCTCTACTCTAAGCTTTATTCTGTCTGGTGTGGCTGCCCTGTTTTGGTTCTGCAGTGATTGGAGCCCCCGGTGCAAAGCACTCGGTTGCCCAAATGTGCATTTCATACCAGCTTCTTCCTTTTTGATTTGGCTACCCTACAGGTCAATGGGATCAATGTGGAAGGCATGAAGCATTCAGAAGTTGTGGCCCACATCAAGTCTAAGGAAAATGAAGCGTGGTTGCTGATAGTGGACCCTGCAACAGATGAATATTTCAAGAAACTTGGTGTCACTCCTGCCGAAGAACACATTCGAGGTGAGGGATTCCACCAGGAGCCAGCCTCAGGAGACGAGCAGTTCCTGCTCGTGAGAAAGGCTGTATTCTTGACACCTCTGCTCTCTTGTAGGTTAACACTGCTTAACCTCAACCCCCAAATCTATTTTTTAAGGCAAGGACTCAGCCCCGAAGAAGTGAGAAATGCAATTGCAGGGTATAACCCAATGCTTTGAAAACTTGGCAACTTCAAGATGTGTGGCCTTCAGCTCCCAGAATTCTCAGCCGACAGTGATTTCTGGGAGATGAAGTCCACATATCTTAAAATTGCCATGTTTGAAAAGCACTTGTGTAGTCTAAAAGGCCATGCCATTTCGAGAACTGCAGCTGATAAATGTGCCCAAAGGGGGACCTATAAATGGTTTAGAAGTAAATTAAATCCATCCCTTCCCACTTTTGAGCAGAATAGCTGTTGTAAACTGGCTGGAAAAAATCCAGAATGTCACGATTGGGCAGCCCCAGAGCTCCAGATGCCTTCCATGGACAGAACGGGAACCAACATTTCAGCAAAGCCTCTTGGCGGCTGCAAGTGAAGTAAACCGATTTTGAAAGCATCCGTGGCTAATTCTCTTAGACTAGAATGGGCAACCCACCCAAAAATGGGGGCATCTGTGTGTGTGTTGGGGGGGGGTGAGGTATCACAGACATTAAGAAAAGGAATGGAACATTGTATGGTTGCAGCTGCCATCTTGACTTTCTTGACCACCCTCTTGGGCAGATGCCGAACTATAAGGACAAATGGGGGGGAGGCATTTTGAGAGTGGACATGGCAGCAGAAGGCCTCCCTTTCCCGCACTTAACCGTGTCCCAGGAGTTCCCCAACTGGCCCTGCCCCCTCTGGGGCTGCAGCAGGTGTCCGGCTGTCCTTCAGAAGGTTGGACTTGCAAGACCCGGGTCTCAAACAGACCAGCTGCTACAGAGACTCCCTGCTCTTGCCTGGGGGGGAGGGGGGCAGAGATCATATCTTCCACCCAACGTACATGATTCCACCACCAACCCTCTCCCCCCCCCCAGGCAGGCTGAATGGAGAGCTCTGTGTTTTTAGCACAGCTGTTTCCTATTGAAGTTGCCTGCCCTCTTTTCTGGCTCACAGTGGAAAGAAAGACTCCAAAAGAACAACTTGGAATAATCTGGAGATTTTTGCAGTGGGGGATGGGGGAGGGAGGGAAGTGGCTGGTGTTAGATGTTGAGCAGAGGGACAACCAAAGACGGAGTGGAGACGCTTTCTTCTTGGCTCCACGTAGAAGGAGCCCCCTCTTCTCTCTGCAAGCAGCAGCAGCAGCAGGCAGAGCGCAGAACCAGCACTAATGCTCAGACCTGCTTTCCAAGCACTGCAGGCCAGGCTCAAATGTGGCCCTTCTTTCTTCTGGGCAAGGGGCTGCGAAGGAGACGGCCGGGCCATCGGGGTAGTTGTCAGCACAGGGAGAGAGGAGAGGGAAGCTTCCTGCAAGATTAAGCAGGTTTGAGTTCGTGGTTCTGCAGGTCGCTTCTGGTTGCAGTGGCCTGATGCCAGCTGGGTGCTCAATGGGCATTTGGAGCAGGCAGCAGGCCCCGTTTCTGCCTGGGTTGGGTGTGGGCTGGGTTCAGATCACCGGCTCTTCAGGGGAGCGGAAGGGGGAGAAGGTGAGATTCCGGAGGGCACCCTGGGATGGATCTGAGCTCCCTGCAGTTGGGGAGTTGTTGATTCCAGAACCTGGAGCTTTGCCCACTCTGATTTGGCTGCTGGGTGTTGATGTTCTTGGAAAATCTATAAGTTCTCAGTAGAGTCAGAACCACGAACTCACCCGGCACAGCTAACACATTTATCATCACTACGATAAGCAGCAACCCTGATCCATCCTGGGCTTGAGCAGCAGCTACAACGCTGGGCCTGGCCTTGCCAGGCGGCAACTGCACAAAAGCAAACCCTCTCCTCCCGCATCGTGCTCCTGATCAAAGCTCCCCCTGAGAGAAACCTTCCTGGGCATAAGGGCAAATGGCCGGAACCTCTTTGAATGTGTGTGTGCATGTTGGGATCAGAATGGGCGAAAGAGAACCTCTCTGCATTTCATGCTAATCAATGTAAAGACTTCCCCAAGTTGATTTGAAGAGCGGTGACTGTATGGACACAGCCACACTGTGCCTGAGAGGCCAGGCAGAGAGCCCCACTGGCCTCTTTCTGGGCTGGTTGGGTTGGTGGGTTGTTCCTTCCCAGTCTAGCTGACCAGTGACTTCCTGGTGGTTCTCTATCCCTGCACTAACCGTTGTGATCTGTTCTCACTTAACGGTGGGCTGTCCTGTGCTATGATCCAAGGTGGAGCTCTTCTGCTTCTCCACAACCTGACACTGACAAGCTGGGTCCTTTCCCCCCCCCCCCACCAGCTGCAGAATTAATGGCTATCTGACCCAGAGGGGGCCAATCCTTTGCACAGGGTGAGGGATTCATAGGAACGGTTCCTCATGGGAGTTCTTTCTGTGTTTTCTGCAGGGGGAGTTCCTCAACCTATGACAAATGGGTCAGTGCAAACACAGGTAGGTGGCGTTGAGCGCTGGGTGTTCTTCTTGGGGGGGGGCACTTTGAAAACCCTTCTGGCCTAGTCATTCTCTCCAGCCAGCGAGTTTGGGCATTTGGCCTCCCCTTCTCCCACTCCAGGGCCTGGGGATTTGGACCCTGAGGACCACAAGTGATCAGTGGAAACTGATCCCGTATTGCTTTCCATCTCTAGACGCTTGATAGGGACTCTCTGGCTGTGGCTGATATTTGGCACTGGGCTAAGATCACAGCATTATTGCCTTCGGGGGCTGTATGGGACCTCGGGGTTTTCTAGTTCAGCCTCATGGCACCACTGAGTCATAATATTACACATCTGTCTTTGGCTTTGCACAATCAGTAAACCTAAGCCTAGCCTTTGCTTGATGTCCTAGTATGATGTGTCAAGCCAGTCTGCAGTTGTTTGTTCAACAAACCATGGCTTGGTATGCAGTCCAAACCAGGCCTCTAAAAGAAGGCAAGGGCCTGTTTTTCCTTTTTCTTTATCTGCCTAAAGTGTCTCTCCTTTCCAATTTCTTTTTTTTTTAATTGAGCAAGATGTCTACCTTCGCAAAGCCCTCCAGGTGCTTTCTCTAACCAATAAATGTTTTTTTCCCCCACCCGGGGAGCCACCAGCGTGTCTCTTGCTAATCATGCCCCCTTTTTCCATCCCTCACAGCTGAATGGCGGATCCGTGTCTTCGTCCCACAGCGATTGCCAAAGTCCTGAGGAGGCCGAGGTAAAGAAGCAGCCTTTCTCCTCATCTGGGCCAAGGACTGATTTGCAAATCACCAAGATTTCATCCTTCTCATAGAATCCTAGGGCTGGAAGGGACCCTGGAGATCATTTAGTCCAACCCCTGCCCAAGGCAGGATTCTCCTTATCCTCCACCTGCTGTCCCATGATGGCTGGCCTGCTTTCCTCCAGAGGCCTTTCTTGGTCCTGTCCCTTCTCCTTGTTTCTTCTTTATTATCTTTTTATCTTCTTGTCTTCTTTATTCTTCTTTATTAGTCATTCCAAACTCTTCCTTCCAGCATCGCTTTTTAGCTTCTAGTCCTTTGCATGTCACCTTTGCCCCTCCAGCGTTTAGCCTTTTCTTCCCCCTTCTTTATTCCAAGCAGCTTATGAAGTTTTCCTCCTAGTTTATGCCTTCCCCAGCCAGCGTTTCACATCCTCTTCTGCCCACTCTAAGCCTTCCCTCCCTCCTGGCTACCTAGGCGGTTCAACCTCTGCTGGCCCCACCCCAGAGATGGCCGCAGCCGAGCGGTCTTCCCTCCGGGATCCCCAAAGGCTCCGCTGATCCACAGAGATGCAACAGACGGGTAGGCCAGGTCAGCACAGGTTTTTTCCACCCTGCAGCAGGCAGGCCGCCCGCCCCCAGCCCTGGAATTAACTCCCTTAATGTGAAAGAAAATATTTCCATGCAACACGGCTGGTTATTTGCTCTTTCTTTAAGAGCAAAAATGTGTGGGGCTTGACAGAGTGGCTTTGATTAGGGAGGATCAGCTCAGGCGCTGGCGAGAGAGCAGCTGCATCCAACTCTGCATTCTTTCCACACTTGGGGGGTGGGGGGGCAGCAGGGAAGAGGGAGGGGGAGAGCTCTGCTGGTCCCAGTCAGCTTTAGGGGAGAGGGGCTGATTTCTCAGCAGCATCGGATGGGTCCTTTGGGTGGGATCCTTCCCGAGGGCTGGGAAGGGAGTTGCTGCTGCCATCCCTGTTTACAGATGGGAAGCAACTCAGTGCCCTTCACCCACGTCTCCCGCTGGCTGCTCCGGGTGGCCTTTCCCCTCCCTCTCCTTCCCAGAGCTGAGAGAGGAGGGTAGCTACTCCCCACTGCCAGCCCTGAGTCACTCGGCTGCACAGGTCGTCCTTCACTTAGGACCACGTGGAGCCTGGAATTTTGGTTGTAATTCATTGCAGTCATAAACGGAGGCACCATGTGACCAGACTCAATTTTACGACCATTTTTACAAAGCCATAAAGTGAGTCATAGCAGTCATTAAGCAAATCACATGGTTGTTAAGCAAATCCAGCAGGGTGCTTTTTGCCATTCTGCTGGAAAATGGCAAAAAACTGTTGTGAATTGCTGCAACCGGTTGTAAATGTGAGCCAGTTGCCAAGCCCCTGAAAGGCAACAACCTGACCCTGTGGAGGGGGCAGCAATCCTAACGCTGAATGCAGGTTGTCAGCAGCTTTGAAAGGTTGCCCATCCACCAGTTGTAATTGGAGGACTACCTCTACTCGCAGCTGGCTCTGTTTGAAGTATTCCTCTGCTTTTGGGTGTAGGAAGAGGCAGTGGGGAGGGCTGTCTTCTTGCAAATGAGTGGGGAGGGGGTGCTCTCTGGCCAGAGAACTGGAGAGGGAAAGCAGGAAGCTGAGCTGGGCATGCCTGGCCTCGGTGACGTTTGGGGGATGCCTTTCGGTCGTAGAGGGCTGGCTCTTAAACAGGAAGGGTTCGTAGTTTGTCAGCCCTCCAAAGTAGGGCAGATCAGGCAATCATAAAAGGATTACATGAATGTTACTTTATTTTTCTGAAGTATAATTACAGGAGCTTGAAAGCTTGCCAGAGTTTCCCTCTGTCCTTTCTTGTAGCAAAGCGAATCAAGATGGGGTGGTCTTGAGTTTCTTTCTCTCTTTCCCCTTCGCCAGGACTCTATTTTCCTTACTTGCTCCTGTCTGCCCCCTTCAGGGTTATCTCTGCACTTCTTGACATGGTTTGACCTGGAAGCTTAGCAGGGGTGAGGCGGTGAGATGAGCTGCAGCCCCTCCGCCTCTGCCCCCGGTTAGGGTGCAGGGACTGGGCGCCTTCCTCTTCCCCGAACGCACGGAGATGGAGGTTCCGGAGGGAGTGGCCGGAGGTGGGGAGAGAAAGGAGGGTGGGGTTGCAGTGTGAGATCTGTTCTACCTGCCACTAGAAGCTGTGGGCATGTGGTCCCCCCGCAAATGCTACCAATAGAATCACAGGGCAGGTGGCTGGTTTTCACTTACAAAGCCCAGCCTTCTTTTTGCTAAAAAGGAGGATGAAGTTCATCTCCTTCACTCGAAATTGTCCCATCCAGCCACATCTTAGAGAAGACTACTATAGTTCCTCACTACTGCAGGAAATTGGACGTGGGGTGGGGTGTGGGCCTGCCAGGAAGGTGCTATGATGCTCCTGTTATTATGGAACAGCCTTCCTTCTCAGGACCATGATATCTTCTGGACCATCTCTGAGAGATGCGGTGTTACCCTGGCTCTCCTCCTTCCTCTGGACTCATTCTAGTTGGTGGTGATGCCGGGGAGAGATTGAGCCCACAGCCCTGGCGCTGTGAGAGGCCTCAGGGCTGAACACTCCCCCCACCCAGCATCTACATGGAGGTTCTGGGAGAAGCCATCAGCAATATGCTGATGATACCCAGCTTTACATTTCTGCTCCTGGCCAACACCAAATATTTCAGTAGATGGCCTATTTCAGCACTTGGAGGAGAAAGAACAGGCTTCAGTTGATCTCTAGCAAGACTAAGTGGCTTTGGCCTTTAGGGCGTCTGGATCCAAGAATTTGCCATTTCTTGTTCTGATGGAGTTACACTGCCACAAAACAGAACCAGTGCGCAACCTGGGGGTTCTCCTGGACTTGCAGCTCCTGTTTAGTAAAAAGGTGGCCAGGACTTTGTCTTGTATGCCAGTGGCATTATTTTCTAGACTGACATTATTACTCAGGTCTTAGTTGCCTCCCAACTAGATCACCGCAATGTGCTCTACATGAGGTTGCCCCCTTGAAGAACATTTAGAAACTTCAAAACTCTTCCAGGTTTTTTTTTTTAATGAGTTGGGGGAACAGCACAGAAACATTTGTATTGCTGCAATTAGGTCGTTGCTTATAGGAAGCAACCAAAATTGGCTTTCAGAGCCTTTGATGTTGGTTTCCTGGCTGCTTATTAAAAGCAGTCTTTGAGATCCTTGCTTTTCTAACTGTCCAATTCCTACTCACACGCACATATAACATGGAGGATTCAAAGGGTTGATTGAGGCTTTCCAAGCTCTCCAAAATCTTCTCCAGGGAATCCCAGTTCAGCAACAAGGCAACCCCCAATGATTTCCCAGTTCAGTTCTGTAATGACTCCCACATGAATCCAAGGCAAGGACAAAGTAGAAGCAAAACAAGGCACACCCACACTAAAGTCCACTATCAAGGTTCAAGGCAAAGGCAAATCTGAGAAGTAGGTTCAAGAATCAAGGCATGAGTCCACAGTCCAGGTCAAGAAGATCAACAAAAAAACTGTACAGGTATAGTATACAGTATAGGGGGTACCTTGCTCAACAGTAGTAACTGTGAGAGGGACCTCGGAGTCCTAGTGGACAATCACTTAAATATGAGCCAGCAGTGTGCGGCAGCTGCCAAAAAGACCAACACAGTGCTGGGCTGCATTAACAGAGGAATAGAATCAAGATCACGTGAAGTGTTAATACCACTTTGCAAAGCCTTGGTAAGGCCACACTTGGAATACTGCATCCAGTTTTGGTCATCACGATATGAAAAACGATGTTGAGACTCTAGAAAGAGTAAGAGAAGAGCAACAAAGATGATTAGGGGACTGGAGGCTAAAGCATATAAGGAACGGCTGCTGGAATTTGTCTAGATTAATGAAGAGAAGGATGAGGGGGAACATGATAGCAGTGTTCCAATATCTCAGGGGCTGCCACAAAGAAGAGGGAGTGAAGCTATTTTCCAAAGCACCTGAAGGCAGGACAAGAAGCAACGGATGGAAACTAATCAAGGAGAGAAGCAACCTAGAACTAAGGAGAAACTTCCTGACAGTTAGAACAATTAACCTGCTGCCTCGCAAGTAACCGGGCTGACCACCATTGCTCCTGCCTCTTCTCCGCTTTGCATACTCTCAGATCAAGCAGAGGAGGCAGTTCCTTCTCATCCAAGCTAGCTGGCTGCAGTTGCACACTTTCTCCTTCTGAGGCCTTGGGCTGTCCTGCTGCAGCTGTGTCTTGACCGTCTCACACATGGCCACATCTGCTGCTCCCCCTGCAACCATTCCACCATGCTTGGTCTTGCTGATCCTAGCTCGAGACCACCTAGAGGCATGCTGTCACCTCTCCCCTCCATGGGGAATGGGACAACGTGCCACAGCAACTTACCCTGTACTCGCTATGGCCAACTTGTCACAGCCAGCTCGCCACGGGACAACTTGCTGCAGGACAATTCAACAATTCGATTTAATTATTTAAAATAATTTTAAAAATATTTTAATTTTTGTCATTCACATTTCATTTTCCTTTGGCATCCTTTATTTAATGATTCTATTCCACCATTTCTTCAATATTAGTGTAACTCTTGTCCTGCGGCGAGTTGTCCAGTAGTGATTTGGCAATGGTGAGTTGTCTCACAGCGAGTTGGTGTGGAGAGTTGGCCATGGCATGTTGTCCTAGATCCCTTTGACGTGCCTGGGACCGGCTCATCCCCTTCCGAGCTGGCACCTGGAGAGGCATCTAGGGAAGCGTCCAAGGAGGTCATCACACGAACAGTGATTCATCCAAAAAAAGTGCTAGACTCTCATCATCCTTATGAGCTGCTGACTACAATAGATCACAGTCTATTAAAATGGCCTGAGCTTTAGTTTAGGTGAAATACACTTGGATGGCATTTAGGTCAAAGTGTTGTGGAAAACCACTGCCTTGTCTCAGCATATTGTGTGAACCTCATCATCACTTTAAGCCATCCTAGAGGTCAATTGGTTGCACAGTATGAACACAATTCTATTTTGTTAATTTGCTTTTGGGGTTAGGCATATATTGTGTGAATCCAGCCGCTGTCAAGTTCTGTTGGCAGCAATCTTCTAATGACTAAAAGAATATATTTACTGGTTATCCTCAGCTTATGTTGGTAATGGGGACCAGAGTTGCCATCACTAAGTGACTTGGTCACAGAGTATGACATCACATGACCACGCCACTTGGAAAGAGCAAGTCTGGCTGTTGTGATAAAATGAGGGTTTGCAACTTCTGACTTCCTGCTGGCTTCCCCATTGACTTTGCTTTTGGGAAGCTGGCAAGGAACAACACAAACTGTAATCATGGGACTGCAGGGCACTGCAATGGCCCAAACTCAGAGGATGGTCATAAGTCCCCCTCCTTCAGCATTGTTTGAACGGTCATTGAATGACTGACGAAACCCAAGGAAACCTGAACTCCATTTTTTTTTTCTTCTAAGACTCGAAACTACTTTTTCCCACTCCAGAAGCAAGATGTTCAGGTGACTAATTTCCACCCCAATTCATTTTTGCAGCCTTGTCTTGGTCTTGTAAGTCACGCAAAGCTTGGGCTGGGATTTCAGAACCTGTCAAAATAGTTTGAAGCAGTGCAGCAGTTTAGCCAAAGAGCTGCCCCCTGTTAAACCTCTTGGTTTCCTCCTAGGTAAGAGAGCCGAAAAAGAAAGACCCCTTTGAAGAAAGCGGGCTGAACCTGAGTCCCACCGCAGCAGAAGCCAAAGAGAGAGTGCGTGCCAAGCGGGTGAACAAGAGGGCGCCTCAGATGGACTGGAACAAGAAGCGGGAGATCTTCAGCAATTTCTGAGCCCATTGAGGGTCTCCGTTTCCCTTCTGGCTCCTCCTGCAAGGAGACATTTGCAAGGTGCACAAATTGTGTCCCACCCTGACGGACAGGGCCGCAACGCACTCCATGCTCCACATTTTTCCACAAGCAAGGCGGTTTCTCTCTGATTGCGCCAAGTGGTCTGAGAGCAAATCTGAGGGAAGGGGAAGGCGAAGAAGGTGGGAGGGAGAGAGAAACCTCTTGCAGTTTGTATTAATTAGGGATCATTTAACTGGCAATATTAGAATATATTATTTATAGGACCATTTTTATATAAGGAATTGTTTGAGTTGCTTTTCTTCCCCATTTGTGTTTAGATATTTTAAAATATTTTTACATTCCAAATCAGCACCTTTCCATTTAGCTGAAAGCTGTAGCTTCTACCACTATGGACTGCAGTGTTAACAACTTCAGAAATGGATTAGCTAACTATTCCTTGATCGTGACCCTTTCAGTTCCAAGTTTGGAGTTTATTTTTTCAGTACTTTTTATTTTTTTTTTTCAGTACTTTATTCAGCTAGCACTTGACATTCCCTTGTTTTTAGTGTATCAGATACTTTTCTTTCCAATCCTTTTTTAGGCTCATAACTTAGCAAGTACAGGATTGTAATCTGAATTCATTTTTATTATAAGAGAGTTGCTTAATAATGAGATGGGTGGCCACCTCATGTAATGTTGGAAAAAAACCCAACTTTTTAGTGAGACTTGGGAGAGTTATGAGAAAAAGGTTCCTTTGAGAATGAAGTTCTTGCTGGTAAGCAAAAAACATCTCAAGGTGAATTTTATCTTTATTATTTTGAGGGCATTAAAAAAACTTACAATGCTTCAATTTTGCTGCTCTTTCAGTAGCTGTGAGGCAGGCAGCCAGCCTCTCTTTCAGCTTGCAGCCTAAAATAGATGCCTTTTTCTGTCCCCAAGATGTTGACTGGGCTTGGTCTCAGGTGGGACTAATCTTCACACAGGTGGTAAACATAATTGTGAATTTGGTGCAATGCTCTCTAGCTCTTACACAGTTGCTCTTGGGGAAAGTGTGAATGTGAGATGCCAGCGTGTCTACAGCTCCCTGAAGATTGTGACACATCTGCTCCAGAGCTGTCCGTTGGTGCCTAGCTAGATTAAGGCTCAAAATCCAGAGACAGCGTGCAGTCTCTGTGAGTAAATCTGGTGGTCATCATTAGCCACTGACCGTTCTGAGGGGGCAAGGGAAGGGAACGCACAGAGAAATGACTCTTACATGTAAGCCCTTTAGGCAATGAGTATTTTTACTCCATCTTTATTCCTGGTGGGACACGTGTTGTGAGAAATTTCTGCTGCATACAGTATGCCACTGTGCCTTAGACCCAGGTTGGGAGAGAGAGGGCAAATTTGGGGTTTCCCACCAAATTGATTCTCTTCTGGTGGGAATGTGGTTTCTAGTGTTTCCGAACAGCGTAAAAACAAGGCAAATATTTCCAAGTAATTTCTGCAGCAATCTCTTACCCATAAAAATGCCACTAAGAGTTCTGGATGCAAAGTGGAGGTCACTCCCAACATTTTGGTGATGCCACAGAGACCTCCAGATGAGCTACCAGACTGGAATTATAAATTTGGCAGGAGGGATATGTGGCAGCTCAGAAATAATCTTAACCATATACAGTCTTCATTAAACCTAAACAGAAATCTAACTGAGTTGATGAATGAACCCTACACTCCCTCATTTTGGGGGGCAGCCTCTTAAAGGCCGAGGGGGGTCTTTGGCATGGGAAAAATGTCCACCAGAGAACAGCTCTCTTGGCAGGAAGGGGCGGGTGGAGCAGCTTTGCCAATGAGGTCAAGGGCTGCTTGGGAAGGAAAAGGCAGGGGGGGTCTCTGTGCCTCCCCTAGGAAAAGGAACAACCTTTTTTCTTTTTCTAAAAAGTTTTTTTAAAGCTTTAAGAATATAGCTGAATGGGATGCAGTTTTTCTTTCTTTTTTAAAAAAGCAGAGGAATTGCCTTTTAATGATGGCAGAGATTAAATATTGCTCTGCTGGGGTGTCCACCAGGGAAGGCCCCAAAACTCCCGATGGTGGCTGCAGTGGTGCAATCCAAGCCCTGCCTTTTGTGTGTACAAACTGTCCCCCAGCGCTCCTGAAGGAGAGAGGAGAGTGATGTTTTTGCATGTTATAAACAAACAAATTTGGAGCTTTTTGAATAGTTTGTAAATGGCTGAATTGAAGAAGATGGCTTAGTTCATTCTCTCCCTTTGAAAAAAAGGCAGTGGTTGTGATAAAGCAATTGTAGCATTTCTTACGAGAGGGTCCTTTTGTTCAGGCACTGCCTGGGTTGACCGAAAGGCTCTTAAGAGGTGGGGGCAACACCAAGGGCTGTGATGCTCTGAAGAGGCTTCAGATACGTGATGCATTTGTACCCATCAAGCCAGGCTCCAATGCCTAATTTTGCCCCTGGCAGCTGAGCTTCAATCACAGGATCTCTGGGAGGAAAAAGATTCGTGCTGCAAGAGAATCAAATTCCAGATTTGGCTCTCCTGTTAAAGAAACCAGGAAGCTTCCAGTGAGAACTTGATAGGGTGGGGCAGATCATCAGTTGCAATTCACCCTTTCTTGCTTTCCTTCCAGTGAATCTGATTGTAGAAGATGCTATAGTTTTTGAAAGGACAAAAGCCGTGGGTGGTAGCCGTGGTCTTCTCAACAAAAGTCCAGGTTCCCTGGAACTTTGTCTTGTGGTTTTGTAGAAATGGGGTGTTCGGGTGCCAGGTGGAGAGAGGGAAGTCTTGGCGGTGGTCCCGTCCACCCTTTTGGTCTGGTAGGTGCCTGCCGGTTAGGCAGCAGGCAGTGTGTCATTTTTGAAGTTTATGTCTCCAGCTTGCACACCTTGGGGCTCTCCAGAGGTGTTGGGGGTAGAGTGTCCTTAATGCCATATTGGTTGAGAATGACTAGTGCATTTCTGCTTATCTGTGGAAGTCCCAATTTGGGAAAGATCAAGCAATTTAACAAACTTAAAAAAACTAAGTTTCAGATTATTGATTCCATTAATCTTTGGCTTCACATTGTCCATGCAGGATGCCAAGAATTGATACAGATCACAGAAGCTGTCTCCTTGAACATCACTATTATAGTGGTTTTTTTAAAAAAGACATTCAGAAGTGCCCACAGAGTATTTTTCAAGAAGTCAAGATGACAGCCAAAGCTCCAGCCCTTGTTATGGGTGACATATGTACAAAGGAGGTAGGGCTTCCATTGCACAGCTGTTTCTGCCATCTTTAATTTTCCTTTCCTGTCCCCCAACTGGTGCCCCTGAACCCACTTATGAGCAGGGAGGAAAACGTTACTGTAGTTTTCACTTTCTCCATGATGATCCACCATCACATTCCAAATTATTTTAATGGCTGTCCTGCTGTAGGTGATTAAAGGACAGAGGCATCAAAATGTGCAAAGATAATGTGGTTGATGTAAGGCTACAGAAATGGAAATTCCACCCCCTTCCAGTTAATGGTTGTCGGAGTCTCCCTCTGGCTCTGCTCGGCTCCCCCCAGCAAGAGCTGGTGGGCTTAGAGCACCTGGTTTGGAGATGCCCAGCTGATCTCAGGGCAGACCTGCTCTTTCTTGGGGGGGGGGGGAGATTGGAGCCACCTCAGGAGGGAGCTGGAGACATTGATGGGGGCCAATGTGGAAAAGGTACCTTCTTGGGGAGGTGTGAATTTTTAAAAGGTGTGGGGAGACCCATATTAAGGTTGAAAATCTTAAGGTGGATCTTATGGTCTGCGTTGAAAGTGTTTTTTGTCACCTTTTTTGCTTTGTCGTCAGAACTGCTTGGCTTCATTGTTTTTTGGCAAAGGTCTCCAACCTTTTGAGCACCGGGGAGTGGTTCCGTGGAGGTTTTTCTGCGGACCGGAGGGGGCCTGGTTTTGTGTGCTGCCTGCATCCCGTGGATGGGGCTTTGCTTGTTTGCACAGACCGGTTTCTGGCATGCCAGGGGTTGGGGACCCGTTTTATGGAATTGTTTTCACATTAGAGGTGTCGGGGCAAAAGGCAGGCACCAGCACTGTGGCATTTTGCTCCAGGGGACAAGTGTGCAGGTGCAGACCTAAGAAAGGGCTTTGTTGGGTTTTCAAGACTGAAGGCTGTCTGGATGGTGGGTGGGATGAAGGCCCCCCCAGCGATCACCCCAACTTCCCTCTGCTTCATGGAATGATGCTGGTGGATAAAAGCACACACTTTCTTTTTCTGCCATCCTGCCAGCTCTGTAACTCGATTTCTGCACATTAATTCTCACATACTCACAAAAAAAAACTGACAAAAAAAGAGCTCTTTTAACTGCATTGTATTTTAAAAAGTATATTACAATGTCAATAATAAAACTGTTTCCTCATGGACAGCAAGTTTTGTTGTGTTCGTGTCTGTATTGTTTTCTATTTTTGTCCCTTCCTGAACTTGCCTTGCAAACACATTTTTCAACAAAGCTCAAGATTCACAGCATCACAAACGTCCTCCTTTGTCTGCTCCTTTCCCTGACATCTTGTCTGATGTCAGTCTGACAAGATGGCAGCTGCCACTGTGGGATCGAAGCCCCGCCCCCTTTTGTGTTGCATACACGGCACAGGTAAAGAGCTTTAATTGCGTCTTGACCCCACCCCATGAACATCTTTGCGGCCACCCTCAGAGGCTAATGTTGTAAGTTTTTAATGTAGCACAATAAAATGTTTAAATAAACAGTATCACTTGTATTCGTTGCTAATGAACTAATGTAAATGATATCAAACAAAACTTAGTTTGGGTCCAGATTTACCTTTTTGTGTGGGAAGAGTAATCGGCCAACCTTGCCGCTCAAAGACCAACGGTACCCCTTCTCTGCTGGGAAGTAACAACAGACCATTTTGCTTGTTTTAAAATGTGAAAATTTAGCCATCCCAATTCATATTTAGGATCCTGTTATGTCCATTCATCTATTGGTGTAGGGTGTGACTGCATCAAAGCCTCCCTGCATCCCCCACTGAGACACGGCCTCGTGCCCAGCCCTTTTCCTCTGAAATCAGACTTCAACACCCAGCAGCTTCTCCTGAGAAGAACGGGCGTGGCTGCTTGCAAGCCTGAGCCACCTTGGTGAGAGCTTCCGAGGCTACACATCTGACCAGATGACTGAGTTGGAGAAGGCCTTTGCTGGCACCAAGCGAGGAGCATTTGAAATGCAACTTCCAGGCAGGTTAGAAGATGAGTTTCCCTAGTATGAGACGGAGAAACCCAACCTCTGCAACCTGCAGCCACCTCAGTGGGATTCTGCTGGGTTCCTTCTGTTAGGACCCACATCCCCTCTGCTTCAGCTGTTGGGGCACTTCCCCTTCCTCCAATCTCCATGTTGAGTTGGGCTGGATGAGACTGGCCAGGACACCTAGCAATTCTCCATGGCCCTGGCTTTGAACAGAGGCCCTCTGATCCTCGTTCAACCATAAGACCCCCTTGCTTGTAGAGTTGCGTCACCCCCATTCAAGAGCAGAGCAAACCCAAGCATGCTGATCTCTTAACTGCTATCACACCCTTAAGCTTTGTTGCCTGCTTGAGTTGGCTTTTGGGGCAAGATGCCGACTTGGCAGTTCCCAGCATCTCTCACAATTACAATGACCTCTTGTGACCCTTCCAACTCTTATGATTCTGTTAATCATTTACTGGGATGGTGTAGTGAATCCTGCAGTTTGCAGAGCGTTTGTCTTGATGACCTTTTGGGTCCCTTCCAACTCCGATTCTATTAATCATCGGCCAGGGGGAGGGTTGGAAGCCCAGGGGGCTGCAGTTCTGCAACGGGCTGGCTCCTCCAGGGGTCTGGGCTGCGCCAATTTTGCCTGCTTTGGGCACCCTTCCCTGAAAGGACTGCCTGGCCGTCCCTGTTGTCCCAATTTGTCCCTTTCCAGTATTGTGCTGTGGCTGTTGCTGCTTCAAGCATTCCACAGGATGATTTATTTTCATTTCATTTGGAGAGGTTTTGTTCCTTAAGCAAGGAAACCAGCCATAAATATTTAGTATAATATAAATATAAACAAACACCTTGAAGGTCCTTGGGTTGCCTGCTCTAGATCCATGCAGTCATTCCTTCTCCTTCCAGACACCCCTCTTGAATGGAGTCAGCCTCCCACATACTTTATTTATTAAAAGTGCTTGCTGGGCAGAGTCAGTCCTTCTTGGATAGCAGCCTTTTCATGGAGACTTGAGAGGCAGCGTGAAATCCCGGTCCCGCCTCCTGCGCTGACAGATGGAGGACAGGAAGAGCTCCTGGGGGTTGTTCATCACCAGACCTCCTCCTTGCCCAAAGAGGCACTGCAGTTCCTGGGACAGGCACCAAGGCTCAGCCTGGCGGAAAACAGCTTCTCCCGAACAACGGAAGCTCCCAGACAAAGAGGCGGGGGAGGGGCTGTTCCTCAGTGGTTCATGGATCCGGGGCAGATGTTTCTGTTGAGGCACTCGCTGCAATGTGGATGGACAGGCAAGCAGATCTGCTGCCCGAAGCCAACCAGGAGCCAATTTATCTCACTCCAGAGAGTCCTGCAGATGGTGGAGCAGGGAGAGGGAAAAAAACATTTCAGTGTGGTAGAAAAAATAACACAACATCAACATTCAATGATGCTTGAAGCAGCCTACTCTCAGATGTTGCAGGAAGACAATTCCCAACCTTTGAGACCAAGGAACATCAATATCAGGAAATAACTACTATTCTGGAGCATCAAGCCATAAAGGTGAGTTGATAGCCGACCCTGGGGAGACTAAAGGGAAGTGAGGTTGCCACCGCGTCCCACTGATCAAAGTGCAACCCCAGAGGCTGCTCCCTGCCCCACTCCCGGCCTCCCCAGAACTCTCCCCTTTGTCCTGGGCTGGAGGACGCCTGTTAGAGCCAGCTTCCCTGCTTAGTTTCCAAGAAGGCCCACAGGGCAAGAAAGACGAGTCTGGAGCTGGTCTTTGGCTTGTGTTGGCTGGTGCACTGATGTCTGCTCACACTATGGTGATGGGAGAAAGAATGCCTTGGCTGAAATCCTACAACTGTGAGAAATTTCCTACAGGAGAACGCTCAAATGCTCCTCTTGTAGGTCAAAGGTCAACCCTTTGTTGCAACACTGAAATAAATGGGAAGATGGAGTAGTAAGTGATAAAAGTGGACCTTGCTGGTGGTTTCCGGCCCTCTTTCCTAGTGTGAAGGTGTGCCTGTTCCACTGGAAGGAGCAGCACTCTGACAGACACCCGTGGACCGCAGACCTCCAAGACAAGCGTTTTCCAGCCTGCGTTTCAGAGAATGGGAATGAAGGCCGCTTTGGCAATGTGGTTACAGCACTAGACTGGAAACTGAGAAGCCACAAATCCTAGCCCCATCTCTAGCACAAAGCCAGCCGCGTGATCCCAAAGTCTTATAAAGAACAAGGTGGTGGTGGAAACCCACTTCTGAAAACGTTGGCAGGAAAGCTGCAGGGATTCATCTAGGAGGGCAGTCACCAGAAGTCAAGACGGACTCAAAGCCCTTCCCCCATTTTCTGCAGAGAAACCTGAGCTTTTCCAAGGAGGATCCCAGTTCCAGGGAGGAAAATGTGATGAGCCTTGAAAAACAGAACCGGCAAACTGGAAGGAAAGGTCAACTGGCGACCAGTTTTGAAGCCCTTTTGCCTGCATCCAATCAGCTTAATAAGGAATGGTATTGTGGGAGCTTCTTAATTCAATGACCTTGCACAAAAGTCACGGGAGCTGTGATCTCACACTGAGACTAAGACAGAGGGAGAGAAGTGAAATATTTAGATCCAGTTTGGACAGGCTCACCTGGGCAGCCATTCTTCCAGAGCTTGCCTCGTTTCCTCTGGAAGTTTTGTTTCCTTTTTTGCCCACTTTAACCTGTTGCAAATTCGATGAACGTGTGTGTCCACACCTGTAGTGCAAAATCAGAAAGGGGGAGTTATCCTAAACAAGGACTGGGGAAAGCCCTCTCCTGCTGCAATCAGATGCATCCCATGCTCCTTGAATGATGGCACTTCTCCTCCTTGGAAGGACAGTTGCAGCCGAGTCAATCAAGTGAGACTGCAAACTGGCATTTTGTTTAACTTTAGAGAAACCTCTGTCAGAGAGGTTTGGCCCACAGAAGGACATCTCTGAATGGAGATAATGGATTTACGGGAGAGTTTGAGACATCTGTCAAGGGTTTGGTTTCCTAGAGGGCTGGGTCAGATGATCCCACCACCCTACAATTCTATCTGATTCTTCTCCCTCTCATGAACAAACCTGGAGTTACAGGCTGAAGGTCTAGATCAGCCAAGTGCTACTTAGAGCTGCTGCAGTAAGAAGGTGGTGGAGAAACAAGCGGAAACCTGGTGACTCCTCATCTGGCTGATGTCCAGGCCAAGACCCCAAGCTTCCCTCGCCATGACTGGCGTCCACTGAAGGAGGAGAACATTAGTGGCCTGGATAGGAAAGGCTCCAAAAATGTTCTTCCTTCTGGGGCTCCCAGGGAGCTGTGGCAGGACTGTCCATGGCATATTAACCATCAGTAGGAAAGAAATCGAACTGGACACTTGGCAGGACCCTTGCCAACATCTCTGCTGACCTACTTCATGGCTGCTTTGCCCCAACTGCTTCTGCACTCCTCTCCCTGGAAGCCGACCCCGCTTCCCCCCAGTGCCAGCCCTCCCGCATCGGCATCCAGGGAAGCTGAGCAGGAAGAAGGGCAGAGGCCAAGAAGATTCTGTCCGGTGGCAGAGAGACGCCAAGCAGAGCAACTTCCAGATCCATCCCACTTTATTTACTCCCCACTCAAATTTGGGCTGGCTAAAAAAGTGGCTGGCAGGCAGCGCATCGCCAGCCCACTGAAAGAGGCCCCATCACCTCGGAAGCGACGGTCCCACCTCTCCAGTTTCTCCTCCCATGAGGAAGCGTAAGCACTATGAAGCGGAATAAAAGCCTACGTGCCCTTGCTCTTGCTGGTCTAGGTTATCTCACCTGCACAACCTGACCCCAGGTCAGGCCCTACTCTGGCTCTGACGCTGCAGGCATTTCAGAAAACTTTCAAAAACACGGCTGTTTTCCTGGGGGGGGGGTGTGTGAAGCTCATGAGATAGATGTGATTGTAGGGACAGTTCTTGTCCTTGGCTCCCATTAGATGCACACAGTATCTGTTAATATTGTGACTGATTGTACTGAGTTTTAATTTAATGGGGGCTGCCCAGGGACAGGGTCACATAAATTGACCGAAACACAGGTAATTCTCAATATCACAATGGAGTCTGCCCATTGTCTTCTAAGTTGTGATGGTCATAAATCAGGTCGCCCAGATGATTAACTCAATTTTATGATGCTTTTGTGGCAGTCATTAAGCGAATGCTGTGGTTTTAAAGCTGCAAATGGCCATAAATGCAGGGCAACTGCTGAGGGATTGACATGCAGTCCTGTGATGGGGAGAGGCGCAATGGCTGTCATAGCTTCAGAACAGAATCTTAAGCACCCAAGGGGGGGGGGGTGTAACTATGAATGGTTGCTAAGTGACTGGATGTAGAGATGGGGGTTAGGTAAAGGTCGTGAGCAGCAAACTGCCCTTCCAAAGCCTACGTGCCTCTTCTCTCTACATCAGTGGTTCTCAACCTTCCTAATGCCGCAACCCTTTAATACAGTTCCTCGTGTTGTGGTGACCCCCAACCATAAAATTATTTTCGTTGCTATTTCATAACTGTAATTTTGCTACTGTTATGAATCGTAATGTAAATATCTGATATGCAGGGTGTATTTTCATTGTTACGAAATGAACATAATTAAAGCATAGTGATTAATCACAAAAACAATATAGCAATGCTCGATGGAGAAGCTTACTCTTCCTTGCTTAAAAATGTTGGGAGGGAGGGAAGGAGAAGGAAGGAAGGAAGGAAGGAAGGAAGGAAGGAAGGAAGGAAGGAAGGAAGGAAGGAAGGAAGGAGATGAAGAAGGAAGGAGATTGAAGGGGAAAGGAAGGAAGGAAGGAAGGAGAAAGAGATTGAAGGGATGGAGATGGAGATGGAAGGAAGGAAGATTGAAGGGGAAACGAAGGAGATGGAGAAGGAAGGAAGGAAGGAAGGAAGGAGAGAGAGAGATTGAAGGGGAAGGGATGGAGATGGAAGGAAGGAAGATTGAAGGGGAAAGGAAGGAGATGGAGAAGGAAGGAGATTGAAGGGGGGAGGCGGACGCACAAGCACCTCTGCACAATTGCCTGGGAAGGGGGAGAGGCTCTGGCGGAGAGCCAGGTGGAGAGCCAAGTGGCGGCACCTCCGGGGCCTCGGAAGTTGCGTGGAGGATCCACGTGCCTCGAAGCTGCCGGCTGCCCTCTCACACCCGCCAACCTGGAGCCCCCCATCCTCATCCTGGCACCTCTTGCCCTCTCCCAGCTGCCCCCCCGGGACCTGCCCGCCCCTCCAGCCATCGCAGTGGTGGGGTCGCGAGAGCCCCTTTCCACACCGCGCAGCACATCATACGCGAGAGGGGTGCAGCCGGAGCGGCAGCTCCCGTTCGGAAGGCACCGCTTCTCCCCTCCTGGCCTGGCCAGCTGGCCTCCGACGCACATGCGGACATCGCCCCCGCCTCGCCCTCTTCCCCGCCCCCTGGCCACTTCAGAGGCCCGGAGCCCAGCAAGCTGTGAAGGAGCCACTCCTGCCCGCTACCCCTAGGGCTGCGCCAGGCGGCAGAGGGCAGAGGTGGCCCTCTCCTTCCTCCTGCTGCCCCCAAAGCGGCTCGGGTGGGAGCCGGGAGGAAGAGGGGTACCTGGGGGGAGCAGCCGGGCTGGAGGAGGGGCTGGCGGGCTGCACGGCACCAGCCCCCATCGCGGCTCCATTGATGGACAGAGGACCAAGCTGGGCAGCGCGGGGGCAGTGGGGACAGCAGCAGCTTCGGGGGTCCCCGCCACCCCTGCGCTGCCCGGCCTGGTCCTCCGTCCATCAATGGAACCGCGGTGGGGGCTGGTGCCGTGCAGCCCGCCAGCCTGGCTGCTCCCCCCCAGGTACCCCTCTTCCTCCCAGCGCCCGCCCGAGCCGCCTTGGGAGCAGCAGGAGGAAGAAGGAGAGAAGGGCGAGAAAACCGCTGCCACTGTCCCCGCCGCCTGGCCTTGCCCTCCGCCCATCCGACAGAGCCGCAGTGGGGGCTGGTGCCGTGCGGCCCGCCAGCCCCTCGTCCAGCCTGGCTGCTCCCCCCCAGGCACCCCTCTTGCCCCGGCGCCCACCCGAGCCGCCTTGGGGGCAGTAGGAGGAAGAAGGGGAGGAGGAAGAGGGTAGCAAGGAAGCCGCCGCCAGCACTGGGCCCCAGGAGGCGGCTCTCCTCTCCTACCTTTGCTGAATCTCCTTCTTCCTTCCCAGCAGCCTGGACTCCGGCGCGCCTTCCTGGCCAGCGGGCTGGCCGGGGATCGCAGGGGCTGGTCTCCCTTGGGCTGCAGCTTGCAGGAGGGCTGGCCCGCTCAGCAGAGCCTCCAGCGGGTCGCTCCCAACAGGGATCCCGGGGCTTCCCTGGGTGGCTCCAAGGCCACGAGACCCTGGCCGTGCTTCTCCCAGGGGACGGGGCACCTGGCACAGGACCAATCAGGAGCCCTGCAGGAGGTAAGTCCGCCTGAGAGAGAGAGAAGGGAAGCGAAAGTGCCTCTCTGTCTCTCTCTCTGCAAATGGCGGAGGAGGCCGTGCGGAGATGGATGCGGAGCAGTGTCTCGGTTCCTAAGACCATCGGAAATATGTGTTTTCCGATGGTCTTAGGCGACCCCTGTGAAACGGTCGTTCGACCCCAAAAGGAGTCGCGACCCACAGGTTGAGAACCGCTGCTCTACATGATCTCATCCATTCACATCACTATGGCAATGTAGGGAAATACCCCAGGTTGGTACATGATATCACCTGGTTCACATGGTATCAGCCAGGTTACATCAACAGGATGTGGGAGAAGATTGCTCCCTGTCTGGGCCTCCTGGCTGGTATATTCTTAAGGATTGGCAAGGATTTTCATCAATAGAAATGCTGTTACTATGCTGATGCCATCTTACTTTATGCTATTTGGAATACCTGTATATAAAGAATAAACACTGTGAATGTAGTCAGCCATATCTGCACCCTGCAATGACTGAGCACTGATTCCTTCAGCTGGTCATAAACTGAGGACCACTTATGAATGAATGAATGAATCTGAACTCTGAAGTTCAGGCAATCCAGATGTAAATATGACAACTGAACAGGAATTGGAAGAGGAAGAAGGATTGGAAGAGAGAAACATTAGTGAATATGAACTGGATACACAGCAGGGATTGTCAAACAACCTAAATGTGCAAGACTGAGATAGCTGAATGCTTGTTCCCCCAAAAGACACAGAAACAGATCCACTCTGCAAGAGACATACCAATTCCCGAGGCTTTCTTCCAGGCAATGTCCATCACCAGGTGGGCCATCTTCGGACCGACCCCAGGCAACTTCACCAACTCGGCCACAGTTTGTGGGATGTCGCCGGCATAGTCCCGCTTCAGGATTGCTGTAGTTTGCTGGACATATCGCGCCTTGTTCTGCAGCCCACGAAAATGTAAATTCACTGAGCTGGGCTGACCAGGGCCAATCTGACTCCGCATTTTCTTTCTTTTTTCCTACTGTGTCCTAACCAGCCGGCCCCAAGGGAACCTGGTGCTTGCAACCCAACCCCCCCCCCAGTTTTTCTCTCTCCTACCACTGTTCCCCTTCAAACAGTATTTGGAGACAGCTGCCCAGAAGTAACACCGAAGCTTCAAGACCACAACCCCCCATAGACCTGACCTGCATCCTCTAAACCAGGGGTGTCAAACTGCCGGCCCCCAAGCCAGTTTCATCATACCGAAGCTGCGCCCACCCAACTGCCGGCAATGCAAAAAGAGTCGCGATACATTGCAACACGTCACATGACGTTGCAAGCTTCACACCTGTGCTCTAAAGCCTTTGAAAAGCTATCCAGGTTATAGTGCCTACTTTGCCATCTTAATAAACACATCAGAACAGCTCTGCAGGATTAGGCCAAGGCCCATCTTGGTCCAAAATTTTGTTTCTTGCAGTGGCCAAACAGATGACCTGGGGGCTCACAAACAAGAAATGAAGACTACCACTCTGTCTGCAAGTTGTGTTCTCCGAGAGATACTTGGAGGCATTTGCTTCCAATCCAGAGGCAATTTTCCTGCCTTCAAGACCAGCAGCCCTGCAAAGACTATCCTTCTCCATTCTTTATCCAATCTGCCTTAGAGCCATCCAGGCAGGTGGTCACCATCCCCACATTAGGGCAATGAATTTCAGAGATTCACAATGTGCCATAGCACTTAAAGCCCAACAGTGCTTTACAGCCCTCTCTAAGCAATTTGCAGAGTCAGCCTGTTGCCCCCAACAATCTGGGTTCTCATTTTACCAATCTTGGAAGGACGGAAGGCTGAGTCCACCTTGAGCCGGTCAGGATCAAACTCCCGGCTGTGGACAGAGTCAGCCTGCAATGCTGCATTCTAACTCCTGCGCCACCACCACGTGGAGAGATGCTTCCTTTTATCTGCCTTCCTTCCATGTTCTATGAGTGTAGTGACCATAAACTCTTTATTTATATTATAAAGCTTTTATTTCAGAAATCTGTCCTTTATTTTCCAAAAATTCAATTGCTTTACTTTAGTCATTTAACATTTATCATACAAATGGTACCACTTAAAATTTTTTACATTATTTTTACATTTTTAGTCTATATTGTGAAATTGAACACTTTTAAAAATAAATTTATATAACAATAGCACTAGACTTTTATACCGCTCCACAGTGCTTTACAGCCCTCTCTAAGCGGTTTACAGAGTCAACCTGTGGCCCCCAACAATCTTGGTAGAGTTCGTGCAGACTGCAGCCAAGCAGCATATTTTCCACAAACAAGTGAGGTGGAGCGGAGGGGGGGAGGGAGAGAAGGCGGTTGACAAGCCCTGCCTAAGACCATCGGAAATATGTGTTTTCCCATGGTCTTAGGCGACCCCTGTGAAAGGCTCGTGCGACCCCCCCCAAAAGGGTTGCGACCCACAGGTTGAGAACCGCTGTTTTATTGGAATATTTTTTTGTAGAATTTTTGTTTTTGCTCTTGAATTTTCCTTTATAAAGCAAAGTTATAAATGCAAAAGAATTAATTTTTGTTATACTTATGAACCTCTTTCAGATTTGCCCCTTTTCCAGGGCTGTCCTTTATTTTTTCTAAGAAAACACATATACTGGACCTAACATTTGGAGGAGGATGAGGAGGAGGAATACTTCTTCATGCCACACACAGAGCTGGGCCAAGAAATCAAAGGGGATGCTGAAGGGAACAGAGAAGCAGGCCCTCCACCTTCTGCCAGCAAGGTCTCGTTGCCACACTGGGAGGTGCAGAGCAGCCTTTCCTAATTGACAGGAAGTTCCTTTGGCTGCTCTGTGCAGGCAGAAGATGGAACAAACTAATGCACTGATGATGCTACATGGTTTGGTAATGGATATGGTAACGGCCACATTCACACACAATTGGCCACAGCTATTTTGGCAAAGCTGCTAAGACGGATTGTGGCTCGGGAAGCTCCATGGGGGTTTTGAGCCCAATCCTCTCTGTCCAACCAGCCTACCTCACAGGGTTGGGATGGGGTGACTGGGTGGCAGAGGTGCTCCCATGGAAGACAGAGAGTATATTAACCTGCAAATTAACCCTGCTTCCCCAGCTCTTCCCCTTCAGGTGGAAAATCACTCACCCTCCAAAAGCCGACGGGATAAATGAGCCGGCCCAGTGCCTCCTCGTCAGTCTCCAAGATCTGGTCCACCGTCAGGCCGTGCTTCCGCAGACGCATCATGGCTGCGAAGGTCACCTGGTCTCTCGTCTGGCTGGAGAGCATGAGCGACAGCAGAATCTGGTAGCGCTTCACCTGCCAAGCAGAAGAGAGAGAGGCAGAGGGGATCCCGTTTCTGGCTGGCCCGGGACCCTCTAGGCCAGTGATGGCGAACCTTTTAGAGACCGAGTGGCCAAACTGCAATCCAAAACCCACTTATGCAGCGTGGCCCATTGGCTGGGCGTGGCTGCGGTGGTAACGGCAGACTGGGTGGGACTAAAAAGTTTAATCAATCAATTCCAACTTTGCAAGATCTTTTTTTCCCTGCAAGAAGTTGAAATTGACTGATTGAATCTTTTTTTTTTGTACACGATGGTGGAGGCCTAAAGTGAAAAGGTTTTATAAAACCCAGCTGAAGGCCTAGGACTGGGGCGACGGCGCGTGTGCCCACAGAGAGGGCTTTGAGTGCCGCCTCTGGCAGCCGTGCCATAGGTTCGCCACCACTGGTCTAGGCCCTCCTTGGCCTCCTGGCTGCCCCACTCACCTCTGGAGGGGCCTCCCTATCAAAGCATGCACTGGCTCCCATCTGGTCGACCGGAGCATCCCTCTCTCTCCGCATCTCCCGGATGTTAGCCAGCTGCTGCTCCCAGTTGGCCGGTTCCCATTTCTGTTTCTTGGGTTCGGGGGCCTCTGCTGCCCCATTTCCCTCTGTAGGCTCATAGGCAATTCCCACTTTCCTTCCCCTCTGGAGATTTCTTGGGCAGGTCTCTGTTGGTGCTGTGACACATAATGGAACACACACACACACAAATAAGCAACAGGAATCAGAAAAGCTCTTGGTTCATTTCATCCAGTGCTACAAGATAGGAAGACATTTTCAAACTCGGTCCAAGGAAAGAGAAGATTGAGACGAAATATCCTAAGACAAACACGAGGGTAGCAACTGGGAAGCAGGCTGCTGCAGCTGCGATCCCCTCCCTCTCTTCCACGTTCCTCCCTCATTCCTGAAGGCTCTGGGCAGCTCACAAGGAAAAACTTGCAGCAAAGCTTGTTCTGGACTGTTTTCCGTAATCAGCCAGTGCACTTTTCTTCTTCAACAATTTTCTTGACAAAATAAATCTCTGCATCCATTTCTTGCAAGGCAGGCCTAATGCATCAATATCACTAAAGAGAGGTGATAGTCGCTGGTTTTCTTGTTTTTTTGGTCCAAATTTCCCAGTTTGGCTTATGTCTAGTTAATGATTGTACTGCATATTATATCACAGATACGGGCTTTGCTATTTCTGCCATTGATGATTCTGCTGTATTTCCACTATCCCGGTTTGTTTTTAGCACTTTTCTCACTCCTTGGATGCATTCCTTACTAGTCACGTTTGGGCACTGTCTATGCTTGATGTAATCCAGCTGTAAAACGCCTAATACTTGTAAACTTCATCCTGTGGCTCCTGATCCTTTGGCTATTCCGTGTTTCAATTCTATTACTGGACATGATTTTACCCCAATCCACGGTATTTCTCTAGACCAAATTCCATTGTTATCATCTATTCTCAAAATTCTGACAGTATTTGTCAATGATTGGATTTTTATTTATTTGCATCCTGCCTTTATTATTTTTACAAATAGCTCAAGTGGCCAGCACACCTAATCCTATTTTCCCCACAACAACCCTGTGAGGCAGGCTGGGCAGAGAGTCATCCAGCCTGGTGTTTTGTTGCCAAAGGAAGGGAGGAAAAAGGTAAAGGGCTGCTGCCAGGGACCCTGAGGGGAGGACCAAGCCCAAGCAGAAGGAAGGAAGCGCCTCGGCTGCCCAGTCCATCCCCTCCAGAGATCGGGTTGCTGCCAATTAAGGTCGAACGGCCAGTTCTGTGCCTGGAAAACGACCTGAAAGCCTGGCTGGTTGCTGGGGGGGGGGGGAGTGTTCCGTTGCGCCGGCCTCCTGGGGCCCCTTCCCGGACGGCGCCCCGAAGCCAGCCCGCCAGCCGGCCTTCATCCGCCCCCCGAGGGCAGCCAGCGCTTCTCCAGGCGGCCGAGCGGCGGAGCCCCGCCGGGGTCGCCTCCAATCACTCCGCGTCCCAACCAGGTCCGAAGAGGGCGGGCAGCGAGGTCCTCTAGCCCGCCGCTCACTCCCTGAGCCCGGCTCGGGGGCCACACGAACGCCCCGCATGCGAGCCCCGCGCCGCCCACGCGCCCCTCTCCCCGCCTCACCTCGGGCCCCGCTCGGCCGCCGCAGCCGGGCTGAGAAGCTGCGCCCCGCGCACATGGCCCAGCCCACCGGGACCACAACCCCCACAATGCCCCGCGGGGAGACCCGCCTCCTCCCGCCGTCTCGTGAGCCCCACACCGGAAGCTCAGCGGCCCTTCCGCTTGCGGGGGGGCCGGGAGGGGCGGGGCAGCGGAGGGGGGGGCGAGGTGTTTACGCGCTTTGGGGTCGCAGCCCGGTAAGTCGGCGGCGCCTCGGCCCGGGCGGGTCTGCTCCGCGGGGCTGTTGTGCGGGACAGCCGCGGAAACGCGCGGGGGGCCATCGCGGCCTCTCGGCTCCGGCAGGCAAGCAGGGCGGCCCGGGCCGGCCGCGGGAGCGCCTGGAGCAAAGGCGGGGGCGCGGCCAGGAAAGACCCGGGCCGGCCGGAGTCGGGCAGCCGCGGAGGCGGTCGGTCCTTGGGCTTGCTTGGCCAGTCGGGGTCCGACCGTGCAGCTCCCGGAAGAGGAGGCGGAGGCGGAGGATGGGAAGGTCGCCGCGCTTCGCCTCCGTTAATCTCGGGCGGCCCTGAACGAAGCGAAGGCAAAGCCCGTTCGGAGCTGAAAGCCGCTGCTGGTTCCTTCGGCCCGCGGAGCCTCCGGAGCGGCAGCCGGGCCCAGCTCGCCTGCAGGGGAGGGCGGGGGGGCTGGTCGGAGTTGCCCCCTTCGGCGCAGCTCCCCGGCCAGGGGGCGAGAGGGGCCCCCTCGGCCTCCAAGAGCCCCGGTGGGCGAAGCGAGGCCCGCCCCAGGCGGAGGCCCCGTCGCCGGGGGGAGAAGGTGGTCCGGCCGCTTGCCGTGGAAGCGGGAGCCGGTAAGGGCTCCCGAAGCGTCGCCAGCAGCCCACAAAGCCACCCGGGAGCTGGTTCGGGCTTGGCCGAGCGACCGAGGCACCAGGCTGGAAATCGGGCGATGGGAGTTGTAGTCCCGCCTTGGGCGCAACAGCCTGCCGGGGGGGGCTGGTTGTGGGGAGGAAGGTGGGTGGCAGGAGCGCTAAGCTGTTCCCGGTTCCCTGCAGGGCGACGAAGGTGGGATAAACATCTAATGCTAGGAAACCAGGAGGAGCCGAAGGGGCCTCGTGCCGGTCCCATCAGCCGGAGAGAGTCGGCGGGCAGGGAGCAGCAGAGGCGCTTTTCCCGCAGCGGCCCCCTGGAGACGAGCAGGGCCTCAACCCTGTTGGCCTTTCTCGAGGCCCTGGAAACCTGGCTGTGCTCCTGGGCCCGGGAGGCTGAATGGGTTAAGGGCCCTGGTTGCTGGGATGCATAAGAAAACAGTAGCTCATTGAAGCATAGCTTGGTTAGGGGAAAGGTGACAGTAAAAATTACATGTCCAAAATGCTCTCTTCCCTTTTCTTATTATTACAGCCATGCCATATTCTCGTGAGCCATTTGTATTTTCCACACTGGAAATATCCTAGATATAATAATTACCAAAGGTACTAATAAGCTAATTACAAGCAATAATAAAAATGAGATCAATAAACCAATCTTTCATGCTGTCAGTACAATTATTATTTCAGCTTGAAAAGCTTTTATATGTACAGTATTCCACTAACTAGTAGTTCAATTAATAAAGTTTCAAGTGCTTTATTCATACTGAAAAATAAGGTTTATTGTAGTGAGTAATTACAATTACCATTAGCATTTGGGAAGAATGTCATGACTATTTCTAAAACTTTGAGAATGGGGAAACAAGGTAGATTCATAACATCAATTTATCTTAATAAATAACCAGCATCCTAACACATATAGATCTATAATAATTATCTTTTGAAAATTGTAAAATGCCTTTTATTTGTATAGTCATGCCTTTCAATATGGTTAGAAGAAACGACAGTATTGTTGGTCTAAATTTAATTATTTTCAGGTTCTGGTTTATGAAATCACTTTGTTTCATCTCAAGAGGAAGGTTTTATTTGCTTTTTTCTGTTTAAAAACTATCTATAGTCCAAAGAATTGAGGGACCACCTAGAGCAAGGGTGTCAAACTCGCAATGTCAAGCGATGTGTCTTGACGTATCGTGACTTTTTTCCCATTGAAGGCAATGGGATGGGCGCAGTTTCACTATGATACATCCGGCCCTAGAGGTATTCAGTTTCCCATTTATATGTATCACAATCCTGGAAGGCCAGTTTGGTTCAGTCTGGCTCCTGGACTCCTGGGCGCAATCAATGAGTTCAGAGGACTAAAAGGGAATTGAGTTACTTCCATACATTTTCTTAACTAGAGCAACACACTGGTTCTCATATAAATGATAATGTTTTTAATGCACAGAATTTGCTAGTTGTTTCAGTAGTAGCTTTTTTAAAATAAAGGGGGAGAATTCCTGGCAAAGTTGGACACATGCTGTATTCTATAAAACAGCCACCTGTATGCCATATATGAGCATGCATTGTAGGAGTCTGTACGTTTTTTTTTGTGTCTCTTAAGCTTCTATTTTGGGAGATTATATTGAGAAAATCTCTCAACTATTTTCCCTTGATAAAGCAATCTTCTCTCCATGCAGTTTCCTTGGTTAACAATGGCAAAACCACCAAGTAAAGATCCTGGGCTAAAGGAGAAGTTTAAGAGCCTCCTAGGACTGTCATCCAGGCCCAATTCTAAATCATCTGAAGGAAAACATACAGAATTCATCATCACTGTAGAAATACTCAAGGTAACATTCAGAAATATTCCAGACTTTGAACTTTAATAGATGCCACAAAAGAAAATTAATACGGATTTTAATTTAAAGGATTTTTAAAAATCCTTTGAATTGCCTTAAGATTTGGATTCCCCAAGGATTTGTGAGTAAAATAAATCCTCAATTTAATAGACTTTGGTTTAATGAAATGATATTGTCTTCAGATGCAAGACAATATTTATGCACTATATGCTTGCATTTATGTATAAAATCCTAATAGCCATTTTATGTATATATAAAATATGAATTTAATGTGTAATATGTTTAAATTCCATTCATATTTAAAGGATATTCTACTTTAAAAGATAACCCTTTCTCCCTATTTCTGTGTAGCTGAGGCTATACAGTAACACCATCCTGATGGAATTGCTTTATTAACTAACCAGTTAACTAGATTTGATTTATGATGCTAACTTTGGAACATCTTGCCCCATGAGATGAGATTGACTCCCACCATTCTGATTTTCCCTAAGAGCCTCAAGACCTGGCTCTGCAGTTGGCTTGGGTCCCCAACGGGGGAGCTTCATACTGAGGTGGTTGATTAACAGCAGTTCCCACCTTCCCTCCCTCCCCATCTTTAATTGTAACTTGTATTTTATTGGAAGGAAGGAAGGAAGGAAGGAAGGAAGGAAGGAGCATATATTGACAACTGGACATCCTGAAGTGCTGTTTGCTGGAGGGGAGGCACTGTGATTGTGATGGGAAGGACAACATATTGGGGAGGCAATTTCTTCACCGAGAGCCCCATATCTTTGGGGCTGACAAGTGCCTTTAGAGTTTTGAGAACACATTGAACTAACTTCGGGGCTGTTGTGGAAAATTTGTAAACCGTACAAAATGGCACCTGTGTATGAAAAACAAGCAGTTCCCAAGCACTGGTCCACTAGAATGCTATCTGTCACCTCTTATACTTCCTATTCCCTTAGAATACCATAAACCATCTTGTTTGCTTTGTTCTTGTTCTGGATGCATGACTTATTTTTCAAGCAGTGCTACAGCTGGCCATCATTTTTATTTTCTGAGAAAATTTGAGAGATCAAAACCATTCTTAAAACTATGCAAATCACACTATGCAAATCAGGTGGGACAGTTGGCACCCACAGGAAACTGGAAACTGGCCCTAGAAGTAATGTTCATGTTATAGTTGTACGTTCTCCAACTCAGCAAATGGGAATTTGTCAAACTGGAAGAGGACAGATCCTCTGCACAGGATGATGCATGAGCAAGGATGGTCAGGTTTTCCCCTTATCTAAGAAGTGTGCGTCTGCATAAGAATCATTAACCAGGAAGTGCTAGTCCTGGTTCCTTTACTGCTTGATGTAGTCAGACATGTAGAGCTACCATCCTGTCTGAACCTGCTGCTGCTTGTATAGATCTAAGTCTATACTTGTTTTTCAGGAACTGAGCATAGAATGTGGTCTAAACAATCGGATAAAAGCAATTGGACAAATCTGTGAGGTGGCAAAAGCTAAAAAGTTTGAAGAGGTGAGTATGCAGGGCTTGTTGTTTAGAGAAATAAATGCCTTATACTGGTATATAAGCATCCGCTCCACTGCAGCTGAACTGCACATCCCACATCTCAGCATTTATAGATGGTTTGGGATGAATAGAGGGGGGGACCCTGGGTTGCTAAGTCAGAGAATTTCTGTTTGCCTTCCCCAGAAGAAAAGGGGACAGAACAAATTGGGAGTTTAAATAAATAACAGGAAGGCAAAACTGGCTCATGATTTTTTTTTCTTTTGAAAGTAGATCTTTTTATACATTTCTGCTCAGCATGACCGGCCTTTGGGTAGTTATATGGCATTGGAAGAGAATGTCAGAAAGAAGCTGTTAATTTGAGAATAGACATGATCTGAAATTCTACAGTGTTTGGTTCCTATCTTACAATATTCTGGTGAGGGAACATCCATTTACTTTGAAGCAGAATGGAAAGTGTTAAAAAAAAAGACATGAATGTTTCTTTTAGGATTAGAACAGGACAGAGAAAAATAATTAAATCAGAAACTAACCCTGTGATGTTAAGATATAAATGTCACAGTTACCTAATAGACAAATGTTTGCTATTGGATCTACATTTAGTAAACTTGCTTGATGCAATTTTAATTGAATAGGCCAAAGGATCCAAGTATCTCTGAATGTTTCTGTGCTCTTGTAGCATGCGGTGGAAGCTGTTTGGAAAGCAGTAGCTGATATGCTGCAGCCAGATCGACCGCCTGAGGCCCGGCATGCTGTCCTCCATCTGTTGCAGGCAATTATTCTGGGACAAGTAAGTTGCATGACCAAGGAAGCATCCTTTTTAAAAATGTATATCCATTACTTAAGCCAATTCTTTTATCTTTAAGGGTGAAAGGCTGGGGATTCTCCGAGCTCATTTTTTTAGAGTGATTAAAGATTATCCGTCTAACGAAGACCTACATGAGCGGCTTGAGGTATTCAAGGCACTGACTGATAATGGAAAACACATAACGTACTTGGAAGAGGAACTAGGTACGTCCCCTTTTTCAGTGGTAGATTCTTGCACAGAGAAAGGGGTGACCAAAACTTATCATCTGAGCTTCTGGTCTGATCCAGCCAGGTTTTTCCTTCTGGTCTTACAAGAAAGGACCTCTGGTGAACTTTTGAATGGGCCATTTAGAAGCTTGAGCCATTGATCGACATTCATGTAGAACGTTTTCTGCAGTTCAGTATCTGGCATTTTCTCCCTTGTTGCTGCTTCTTTCAGCTGAATTTGTTCTTCAATGGATGAAAGTTGGTTTGACTTCAGAGTTTCTGTTGGTGTTAATCAACTTAGTGAAATTCAACAGCTGTTACTTGGATGACTACATTGCTGGCATGGTCTAGTAAGGCAAAGTTTTAGATCTTCTCTTGCTTATAAGGAAGCATAATTAGTATGGAATTCTGGATTCTGTGGTCCCTACGTAGCTAGACAACCCAGTTTGGGGGAGGTTGCTTTGAAATGATAATCTTGGTAGAGCCATGTCCTTTTGCTGGCTGGGTTGTGGAAAAAGTATGTCAGTGTCAGTTCAAGTACTGAATTAATTGAGATAGCAGCCCAAAGAAGCCATCAATGAGCTATGAGCCATAAACTAGTGGAGAATTTTTTCAAAACAAGTTCTCGCATTCCTGAGCCTGGTGGGGGGAGGGCTTTCTGGCAGGCTCAAAAGAGTTGTAGATTTAAGATTTCTGCATAGGAGGTTCAGTTAACAAAGCCAGCCAACCAACGAACACCCTTGACCAGATTTTCCTTTCCTTTAGCATGATTTGTGCCTTATGCATTCAGACATCTTCTGCAGTTGACATTAAGGTGGGTAGTTACATAAATGTTGTGGGCAGGATAAAAGGGCCCTTAAAAATAGGAACAGGTTTGCATTGGGACAGGGAGACTTTGAGTCCTTGACGCCTTCCACTCGCTCACTCCTCCTGCTCAGTTTGCCATCAGACTCCCTGCCTGGGATTTGCTGTTGCAGCCACAACTCAGTGCAGTTGGAGGTCTGCCTGTCCCCGTCTGGGCTACTTCCTGACTGGCAGCTCGCGTCCTTGGGTGGACGTCTCGGAAGGGGTGCCAGAAGGACCCACGCTCACGGGGGAACTGCATGCACGATAGCCTTTGTTCAGACAAG